GTCAGTGAGGAACTTTTATCGACAATTATAGGAATTGTTTTTGAATTCTTTCGAGGGGATCTAAATAAATAAAATTTCTAAATCGTAAAATTTAGATATTCGAAATTTGATTCGAGAAATTTTTATCGAAAATTGTAGAAATATTTGAATAAAATTTTTGATAAGAATAATCGAATTTTAATAAGATTTAGAAATTGGGTAATTTGATTTGAGAAATTTTTGTTGTGAATTGTTCTTTAGAAACGCTCTTTAAGATAATTTTATTGGATGTAATTTTTAAAAAATTGGGAAATTTCTAGAAAAAAAAAATGGGAAAACTATTCTTCCTCGAAATTGCATTACTTCGCGTCTAGCGTATTTTCGTGATAGTTTTTCATTATATTCTCACAATAGCCTCTTTTCAAGTATCTTCAATGTATTTTGCAGAAACATTGTTCTAAAAATACGGCGTTTAAATATTTTAATTAAAGTTTGTAATTACAATTTTAATTACGATCGTAATTAAATTTCGAAGGAGACGAAGAAAACTGTCATTCTCTATTGTTTCAAATAATTTCGCTATAAAAATTCGCGATAACGTCCTAAAAAAAAAAGAAAAAAAAAAAATTTAACCAAAAAAGAAAAGATCGAATGTATAATATAATAATTCGATTCGAAACAAATAATAATAATAATAATAATAATAATAATCTGCCAACAATCTGGATTATCGCTTCTTAAATATTCAATCGACCATGCACACGAGAATTTCGCGTTGAAAATTCCGTGTAAACAAGCGTAAGCGAAGTAAGAAAGGAATTATTTAACGCGATAAAGGAAAAACAGGACGAAATCCTTTCATACTTCGCTTCATTGAGATTAATCGCCTTCGCTTCTCTCGTCAGCGTATAAAAGGCGAGATTGCAAAATAACAATTTTACTCGAAATTCCGCCGTTGTATTAATTTGAAAATATTATCCAACGAAAAATTGAATATGATATTAATATTAATTCGATTAAGTCGTACGATGTGAGCGAATGTATTCACTTGTGAGATACGGTTCGAGCTGTTGTGTGCGCGTGTGTGCGCGCGCATGCGTTGTGTAAAATATTATTCGAACGAGATCTCTTTTCTCCTTCGAGTGGGAAGAGGATTTCTATGTAATTAGGATGGATATTAAAGTTAATTAATTATCCTGTGAAACTAATATAAAGTCACGCGAATATTTCTGGATGTATACTTACGATATGTATATTTTTATCTATATGTGCTTTTATGTGGCGTGCTGTTTTCTTTTCGAATTAATAAGAAAATTAAAAATAGGGAAATATTCGATAAAGGAAAGGAACAATGTAGCGTAGATTGGGATTGAATCGTAAGAAAATAAAAAAAAGGATACGAGATTGATTTTACGTCATGAAAGATAGGAAAATAAATTTCCCCAAAATTGTTGTAAATTTTGACAAGTTCGAAGGCATTGCAAAAGAAAAATTTATAAAGCATATAGATGTAGAGCATAGAATTTATAAGCTTACATAAATTTTCATTTGAGCAAAAAGGAAACAAATCATATATTGCAAAAATGTTATAAATTTTGATAAATTACGTAATAAGAAAATTAAATAAGGAAATATTCGATAAGAAAGAAGAGAAGAAACAGTATAGTGTATTGAATCGTAAAAAAAAAAAAGATACAAGATTTCATGGAAAATAGGGAAATAAATTTTTCCAAAATTGCTATAAATTTTGGCATAATAAATTTCGAAGGCATTGCAAAATTGCAAAGAAAAATATATAAAACATGAGCAATAAATTTTCATTTGAGTAAAAAGGATAGTGAAACAAATCATATTTTCCAAAAATATTGTAAATTTTGGCAAATTTAAAAGCACTGAAAATCATAAAAAAAAAAATCTATAAATTCATCAGTGCAATCGATCATTGCAATATATCTTCAAGATGGCAAACCGAATCAAATTTTTTGCTTAAAAATGTTTTGCCAAATATTTACATCGCAACATAAAGAGAGATCATTGCAAATTACAAAGTTAAAAAAACTACATCTAAAAAACTTTTTATTTCATTGGTATAAAATATTGATCAGATTAAATTAATTAATTAAAAAAAAAAAAAACAAAAATAAAGCTTACATCGTAATATAACGAAACGATCGAATTGCAAATTACAAAAAAAAACTAAATAAATTTATTCATATGAAACATCGATCACAAGTACAACGATAAATTTCCATTCGACTAAAAAATAAGAAAACAAAAATAGAAAAACTAATGAATATTTAAACCAAATTAAATCCTGCAAAAAAAACTTCCCAATATTATCCTTATTTATCTAATTGATAAAGGAAAAAATTGATAAAGGAGGGGATAAAGAATTAAATTCCTTTAATTAAATTAAAGGAAAAAGAAAAATTGATAAAGAAAAGGAAAAAAAAAATAAGAAAAATAGAAAAACTAATGAATATCCAAACCAAATTCCTTTAAAAAAATCTTCTAAATTTTCCTAATTAATATATAATATTATAAAGGAAGAGGAGGAGGAATTGATAAAAAAGTGAAGAAAGAAAAATTGATGAATTTTGAAAAAAGAAAGAAGAATTGATAAAGGAAAGGAAACAAAGATAAGAAAACAAAAATAAAAAAATTAATAAAACTAAATCTTCCAAAAGAAATCTTCCAAAAGAAATCTTCCAAATTTTCCAAATTTTACTAATTAATAAAGAAGGAGGAAGAATAAAAGAAGAAGAAGAAATTGATAAATTAAAGAAAGAAGAATTGGATATTTAGGAAAGAAAAAAAAAACAAAAATAAAAAAACTAATGAATATCTAAATCAAATCTTCCAAAAAAAAAATCTTCCGAATTCTCATTTTTTTCTTTCTCTACATCTCGATACAATCAAACGATACAAAATCCCCTCCTCTTCCCAAAAAAGAGAAAAAAATCAACTTGATTCGTATAAATAATAAAACGAAGTATCGATCACCGATTAACCAAGCATCGCGATATAAATCTCTCGTCGCAGTGAAGAGAACACTTGGGACGAGTGAGGGAGAGAAACGCGAACAAAGGGATGGGTGTAATGGGTAGCAAACGAAATTAAAGCTTGGTCGTCGTCTCTCTGCCTTTTTTCTTTTCTCTTCTCCTTTTTCTTTCCCTTTTCTTTTCCCTCTTTTTTCTTTTTTCACGAAAGGAGGAACGGTCTAAAGTGAAAGAGGTCTGTCCACGGAGATAGCCACGAGTTTTATAGTGTCATTATGTACCGGCAGAAGAGGCCCTTATGAGAATGGCTTCTCCGTCTTCCCTTCGCCAGGACACTCTTGGGGTCGGCCTTCCAGTCGCGCGACAGCTTAGAGTCGCATTGTCACCTTCCGAAACTGCCAAGTCGGCGCTGGTGTCGCCTCCGTAAACGATATCTGGCGGTACTGTCCAACAAACAGTGGAGGGACGTGTTTCGTTTATCATCACGAATCCATGAAACAATGTTGGATTGAAAGATGGATGGAAGTGGTCTCGTGCAAAATTCATAATAAACCATTCGTGCCATTTAAGTGAGGAGTATCTTGATCACGCGTGAGACAGATATTAGAGAAAAGACTCGATATTTCATTTAGGTTATTTTTTAGGTTATTACGGTAGAAAGAAACGTGGAACGGTTTCGATTATTTTCCGATATTACTTATCTGTGAGTGGTTAGAGGACATAGAGGATGTGTGAAGATTGTTATAAAGTGTTCTCGAATGGTGATATTAAAGTTGATATTAAAAAAAAAAAAAAAAAAAAGAATTAACCTATTTGTGCAACTAAAAATTATTAATTTTTTCAAGAGATATTTTCAACTTTGTAGATTTCGTCGAGATCATTCTGAAATATTTATCATATGAAAGACGAACAGAATATCGGTCTTCTCGTCTTTCGTATGATAGGTGAATAGGTTAATACTTTTTTCCAGAGAATATTATAACTGGTGAAAAATTAATTTGAAATATTACTCTTTTTGAAAGCACTCGATCTGAAAAATTTTTTGGTATCGAATGATGGATGAAATTACAGATTAATAAGAGATTTCTCAGGTAAATTCAAGTAACATTTTCCTTTGCAAAATGTTAACGAGTTATTAATAAAAAAACACCGAAGAGAAAATAGAGAAGGTGAGAAGAACAGAATAAAAGGATAATGAAGGGGGCAAAGAAAAGGAGAAATTGATAATGAAACAGAGCTTAATATTGATAAATTAAAGGAGGAAGAGAAATTGAAAAAAGAAAGAGGACAAAGAAGATACAAAAGAGGAATTGATAAAGGAATAGGAAGAATTGATGGAGAAAAAGAAAGTATAATAGTATATTTATAATATAATATTCTATCATATATCATAACAAACGTGTCAAATTTATTTTTTATGAGTTATATGATGAAAATTAATTTTGAGACAATGAAAAAAAAAAAAATGGAATTCGAAGCTCGTCGTAAAATTTTGCATGACGACTCAATCATTCGATCTCGATTTAACGCGATTTTTAGGATTTAATAGTTACGAAATTTTAAACAATGAATCAACGATGATTTTCAGATAAAATTACGAAAAGATTCGAAATTAAAACGTGTTAAGTTTCAAACGATCGAATCGACAATGATATCGAAACAAAGAAATAAAGGATTTCAAATTATAAAGGCGCCACCAGCTTTGGACGATAAATCTACGATTAAATTAAACAGATTTTAAATTTAGATAGATGAATTTTACGTTATATTGCAAAACAAAATACGTAATAATCTTCCTCTTTCCTTCAATCGATGGAATTTTTTTTTAAACAAAAAACTCGAAAGGAAAATTGTCAAACGAGTAAAATAAAACAGATGAATAAATCGAGTAAATAATTAAACGGATTAATAAAATTATTGTATCATTAAAAATTTTATTTAAAAAAAATTGATATTAATATTATAATCGTAGATATATATTTTAAAAAAGTAAATAATAACTATTTTCACTTTCTGTAAAAAAAAAAAATAGTTTGTTCAAAACGATAATTTTGAAATTATCGATATTTATTGATTTAAATTTCTTTTTTTTTTTTTTTTGAAATTTTAAATAAAATAGCTGAAATATTATATATTTTTAATTTACGAAATTAATGCTTTTTAACTTAAACTAAATTTCGCTTTGATAAAATAAAAACAAGATATTGTAATAAATAAAAAGTTTAACATCACTTATCTTGTAGAAACGAGACCCGAGGCCACGATATTTCTCGAGATCTTGAAAAAAGGAAGAAAGAAATTACGGTAAAAGTGGAAGATTGATGAAAGACACAACTTTGACAGTCCTCTCCGAGTTCTCGTATGCATAAACCCAAAGGACATCATCGTAATGAGGCGGCCTTTAACGTTTAGCACGAGTATAACTCGAGGGACGGATTTAGAGGGAGGGAGGGAGAGGGAGAGAGAGAGAGAGAAGGAAGGAAGGAACAAGAAATTACCGATGTTCGAAACGTCTTCGTTGGTCGTCGTGGACGCAATAATTATCCTTTCCAAGCACACCCTTCTGTGTGTTAAACGATGAGAAATGGGAACAGGAAGTGATTAAGAAAAGGACACGTTCTCGCCGCTTGATAAATTTTTATGGAAATTTTAAAATTTCATAAAACGAGGTAAGGATATTTCATAGGGCAGATAAGATAAAAATGGATACTTCTTTTTGTTTTTTTTTTTTCTTTGGTAAATATTTCACTGATAAATTCCACTCGTTAAAGAAGATTAAAATTAATTCTTCTTGTTATTTGAATCGTTTTAATCACAAGGGAGGGAGGTTTGTGTTCAATTATGGCCAATTATTTGCGATAGAGAAAGAGAAAAAAGAAAAAAGAAAGAAAAATATTATTATCGTACTTGGAATAATTTCGCGACCCCGTTCGCAACTTATTCTGGTTATCGAATTGGAATCAGAACGGTAAACGTGTATTTCTATGGAAAAACTCGTTTCTTTCTACGCGGATATAATCGAAACAACTTTATCAAATTAATCTTCTTATCCAACATGCTTAAATTTATGAAATTGTACTTATAAATCATATTTATTAATTCTTAACAGTTCGACCATCTATTATTTTCTACAGAAAAATATTTAAAGTGCAATATACATTGCGATAATCAAAATTTCATTTTTTTTTTTAATCATAAATTCGTACAAAATTTTATTTCTCCGTAAACACTCGCGATCTAACGAATCATTAATTCTTAGCAATTCAACCATCTATTATTTTTTACAAAAAAAAGAAAAATATTTCGAATATACGATAATTGAAAAATTCTCAAAATTCTTCATTTTTTCTTAACCACAAATTCGCATAAATTTTATTTTTTCCATAAACATTCGCGATTTAACGAATTACTAATTTTTAGCAGTTCAACCATCTATTATTTTCTACAAAAAGAGAAAAAAATATTCGAAGTGCAATATACAATAATTAAAAAATTCTCAAAATTCTCCACTTTTTTTTTAACCACAAATTCGTAGAAATTTTATTTTTTCCATAAATACTCGCGATCTAACGATTAAAAACATTAATTTCTGTCAGTTTCTGTTTTTCTATTTAAATATCATGTACGACGAAAAGTTAGGTTAGGTTAATGATAATTGCACGATAATTGCGGATATCCCGAGACTATTTCCAGTTTATTAAATCGATATTCCGTATGTCGTATGTGGAGACCGACCTTCTTCCCGATTCCATCACGAGTACGCTTTGACGTTCCACCACGACTTTCCACCACGTATCACCAAAGTTTCATCATTTTTCGAATAACCGAGTCGCTGGAAACTTTCCTTGTTACCATCAGTAAGTAAACGAGGTGCGCGCAATTTGTATCGCTTTGAGGCTAGAGTTGCGCAAAGACGGACAAATAGGCGGATCGATTCATTGGCAAGGGGCCCGGTGACACTCCGGCTTTTCCTTCTCCCTTCTTCCTTTTTTCTTCTTTTCTTTTTTCCTTTTCTTCGCTCCTCGCGAGCCAAAAAGAAATATTCCCCTCGAAGCTCGGGCAAGAAGCTTGAACTTTCCTCGTATCGGAGAGAATCGTTACGGACCGAGTTAAAAAATTTTATTCGATTATTTTTTTTTTTTTTTTTTATCCGTTTATTTGTTTCAACTAATTAAGTTATATCGAGTTATATACACGAACAATCCCTGTGATATAGCGGGGATGATCAAATTGTAAAAAGGAAAATTTATTGAAACTATATAATTGTGAAGTTGAATAAACTTTATTGTTATTTGAAATCTAGAATAATAATATATTGTGAAAATTATTATTATTCGCGTATAATCATTAAATGTAAATTGGAATTTGTATATTATAACAGAAATCAATTTAATTGAAAGCACGTAGTAGTTACTTTTTTTCTTTTTTTTTTTTTTTTACGTTTCAACAATTTATTTACATTTTTTTTTTTTTTTTAATATAAAAATCGTATTTTCACAATAATTTGATCATCCGTTATTTTATTTGCACGAATCAATTTATAATGGAGTAAAGTAATACGGTATGCACGTATAATTTATATACACGTATATCGCACACCATATTTTCGTATTTTCTTTGTGCCGTCCAAGCGCGTTACGCGAACCATATTTTTCTATCATTGATTCTTGAGAGGATCGATGTATTGTCGAAGTGAAATACGATTGTTCGACATGTTGCGCGAATATCGCTTTTCCTCTGTGCCGCTGTAAAAAAGGTTTGTTATGTCGGTTATATTGAATTATATATCGAGAACGAAGAAAGAAAGTGTGGCCGTCGAGATTTCACAGGAAAATAAATTCAACCGATGCGCGTTATAGCGGGCGTGGATTCGTTTTTCCGCCATATTGAATTTGAATAGCGATGGTAAATTGGCGCGAAGTTTGAACGTTGGTAAAACGATAGAGTCTAATTATTTTTAAACGAGGCGAAACTTTTATACGGTTTTAAATCCGTTCCAAAATATATCGATAAAACGATTTGACGTTTCAATGATAAAATTAATCAGAGTTAACTCGAATTCTTTTTTCAATACGATTTTTTACCAATCTAACGATTTAATATCTTCGTAATATCGACATTGCCTTAGAACGACATCTATGTGATTTTATGGATTTCTGGTGCGAAATTGAAAGGCATTGTACAATTTTAAAAGTTACCTCGTCGTAAATTTTGTCGGAGGAAATATCGACGATTTATTTATTTTTTTTTTTTAAATTTCTAATCTCTTTCTCAATCTCATTCACTCTGCCTTGTAATACTTTATTGCTTTATTTAAAATACGATGCTTCGTATGCATGAATTAGTACGAAATTGGATAACGTGGTACAATTTTACTTTTAAAATTGTCGCAAATTTTATCACACTCTGCGAGAGTGGATTGACGGATTTCGAATATTTTTAGAACTTTATTCTCGAACTGATTCGCCATTCGTGGATCTTTGGAAATTAAATATTGAATCAACTCGATTGAATTCCAAGGAATTTTATATATATATATATATATATCAATCGGTGTATAATTATATCCCAATATCCTTTCTGCTACATAAACGTCTATTAATAAAAAAAAAAAAGAAATTACAACCACTCTCAATTTTCAATAATTTTCCTGTTTTTAATAAAATTTAACAATCCAAAGAAGAAATTCAATTGCAAATTTCATCAGTTATTATCTGGTACCTCCTTATTTTTATTTTTTTTTTTTTCTATTATAATACCATCATAACCAAACTTAAAACAAATTCTATACAAATTGCCAAACACCGAAAATTCCGTGTAAAATCAATTTCTCACACACACTGTACACTGTACTGGTCCCTTATCACCTTATTTTATCACGATAAAAATTATTATCGAACTTATTGTTAAACTAAATCTTAAACTAAATCATATTAAAAAAAAAAAAAAAAAAAAAAAAACGAAAACGAAAAACGTTGAAAATGTTGGAAACGATTCCCCTCTTTCTTTTTTTCTAAAAAGACTAATAAAAATTGCACGGTTTTAAAACCCACAAATGGCGCTCGAACGAAAAGATTAAACGTTCGATTACCATATTAACCCTACGCCATTTACGTTATAAGTAACATAGTGGATTCCAGAGTGGCTTAATCGCCACTCGTATATTTCATTCGTGCCGCCGTACACGTATAATTCGCACCATTTTGAACTTAAGCTGCCCGATCGTCGTCCGGCGCGCATCGAATGGGGGGTGGGGGGGGGGGAATTTTTCGGATCGCTTCGTCATACCGATCGAAAACGCGGACGCCGAAGTCTTGAAATTAACGTCATTAATCTCGTTTCAGTTGGATTATTCGAATTCTTTCCCATCCCCACGGTTTGTAACCGTGAAATTCAGCGAATTCTTTCTTTCTTTCTTTTTTTCTCTCTTTTTTTTTTTTTTTTTTTTTTTTTTTTTTGGTTTTGTTTGTTTTTTCTTGGGGTGGGGGGGGGGGGGGGGGGGGGGGGGGAGGATGTCGGTCGAAGCGGAAGATATTTTCACGCAGTGGAAATTTCGAGGATTTTTAACACTTGTAAAAGTGGGAGTGATAGATCCATCGATCGATGGATGGATCTTTTTTTTTTTTTTTTTAAAAAAAGGGTTCGTTTGGATGAAATATTTATTACGAGATAGTTAATGGATGGAGGGACGTAAGGAATAAGGAATATAAATTGTAATTAGCATTCTTATTTAGTTGCAAGGAGGGGTGTTATATCTCTTTTGCATTCCAAGTGAAACGTCTCTTTGTAGATTTCTTTTCATTAGGATTCATTAGTTGCCAGTTTTCGCTTTTCTCGTGATTAAGGAGAATCATGAATTGAAAATTTATAAAAGAGTTTAAAGGAGATTTGTTTTATTTTTAATCAGGATATGTATATATATATTGTGCTTTTTATTTTTGTGTGTGTGTGTGTGTGTTTGTATTATTGTAGAAAGAACAGGATTAAAAATTGTATTATTGAAAGTTTAAAATTTTAGTAGGAAAATTGAAAAATTCGTAAGAAATAAATTCGATTCGATTCGACGATCCTAAATGACACAAATGGATGCACTCAACCATCCCATCAATATTATATTTTTGTATCCAAAAAGAGAAAAATTTATAAAAAAATAAAATCCATTGAAGTCTCTAAATGACAGAAATAAATGTAACAAATGTACCATTTCGTCGATTTTTCAAATTGGAAAATTTGTAATATATAAATAAATGCATTTAAACCACCTCCAATATTTAAAACTAAAATTGGAAAATTTGTAGATAATAAAATCGATCGATTCAATGTCCACGCGAAAAAAATACAATAAATATACCTAACCACTTCTAAAAACCAAAATTAAAAAATTTGTTAAAAAGTAAAATCGATCGATTCAACATGAAAAAAAAAAATACAATAAATACATTTAATCGCGTCTAAAAATCAAAATTGAAAAATTTATCCACACGAAAAAATACAATAAATGCATCTCTAAAAACCAAAGTTGAAAAATAAAATCGATCGATTCGAGATCTACATGAAAAAAATACAATAAATACACTTAATCATCTCTAAAAACCAAAATATAAAAATTTATATAAAAAATAAAATCGATCGATTCAAGATTTACGTGAGAAAAAATACAATAAATACACTTAATCATCCCTAAAAACCAATTTTTTAAAAAATTTAAAATTAGAAAATTTATCCATATGAAAAAAATACAATAAATACACTTAACGACCTCTAAAAACCAAAATTGGAAAATTTGTTAAAAAGTAAAATTGATCGATTCAACGTCCACAGAAAAAAAATTTAATCACGTCTAAAAACCAAAATTGAAAAATTTGTTGAAAAATAAAATCGATCGATTCGAGATCTACGTGAAAAAAATACAATAAATACATTTAATCATCCCTAAAAACCAAAATATAAAAATTATTATTAAAAAATTAAAATTAAAAAATTATTATTATAAAATATAAAAATTTATATAAAAAATAAAATCGATCGATTTAAGATTTACGTGAAAAAAAATACAATAAATACACTTAATCATCCTTAAAAACCAATTTTTTAAAAAATTTAAAATTAGAAAATTTATCCACATGAAAAAAATACAATAAATACAAAAAAATACAAAAAAAAAACACTTAATCACCTCTAAAAAATAGAAAAATTTGTAAAAAAAATGAAATCGATCGATTCGCGATCCAAACGGCAAGCTCAATTCTAAAATTCTCAATTCTTAAATGGATTATATTTCTATCTAAATTATGATATGAAATGAAAAACTTATTAAATAATTCTTAAAAAATTTGTGAAAAATATCGATCGATCGATCCGAAAGAAAATAAAAAACGCAGCATGCTGAGAACTCACCAAGAATGTCCAAACACCCTAACTCGGATATCATAGGGCTGGTGTTAATCTGACACATGTAACAGTCTCTGTCCGACTCCTTCAACTGGCGAATGTGGAGCCGCCACGTGCCGTTCACCACTTCCTCCGCGGCTTGGCTGCTTCCTGTCACCCCGAACGCGCTTCCGCCCGCGGCTCCGGAACAACCGCTCGATTCGTACGAGACCGAGATGCGCGCATTGTGCGTCACCGTCCTCGTGTGGACGGAGAGAATCGTCTGGTCAGAGGCGCGTAGCCAGCCAACCTGCAAAATTCATTTACCTCTCGTCACTCGATATTTCAGAAATCGAACAATTTTTCCCCGAAATCTTTTGCTTCGAGAATTGCGTTCATGGATGAGATAATGATGTTGGAGATTATCTTATATATTTATATTTGTATATGGATAGAGTAACAGATATTTAAATGATTTTGTAATTAAAGCGATAAGATTAGATGGATTATATTTCTAAATTGTGATATGAAATGAAAAATATGAAATTTGTGTGTATGTGTGTTTGGGAAAAATTTATTTATTTTTTTTTTTTTTGGTATTCGTTTGTTTATTTCTTTTTAATGAAATTAGAATTTTTGAATTGGTAGTGATCGAGAATATTGTGGATATTATTCTTTTTTATTAAACGTTGATTGAAATCCTAATTTAAAAATGATTTTTATTCTGTCTGAATTTTTTATTTTTGTTTCCTAAAAGGAATTTCTTTGCTGTATTGAATTAATTACGTTTAAGAGGGGAATCGAGAATGGATAAGGATATTGATTTTTTGTCAAAGGATATTGAGTTTTTTATTTAGGAATATTACTCGATATTTTTTCTTTTTTTTTTTTATTATGATTGAATGTAATTGAAATTGCTATATCCGGTAATATATAATTGGCAGGTTTTATTAAAAGTTTTATTTCTACGATTAATATTATTGCATTCTGTTCTTTCCTGTTCGTCGAGAAGAAAATGCGAGAATAATAGAGGATCGATTAAATTTATTATTTTTAATCTTGATTGTCATTTCTATTCGATCATTCATCGATATTTTCTATTCAAAATTGACGAATAACGAGGGAGAATTATGAATGGGATTACAGTAAATAAAATATGTATTCCGTATAATTGTAAAATGAAGCAGAATTGATAAAAATTCACGACAAAAATATTGCCAATAATTTTCCTCAAAATACGTATACAATTGAATTATATTATTTTGGAAATGAATCGATATAATTGAATAGAATGGAAGAGAAAAAGAAGAAAAATTTAAAATTAAATTAATTTTCATCGAACGTTCAAACTTGAGAAAAGAAGAATAAAAGAAAAAAGAAAAGAAAAGAAAAAAATTCCAAGTGTAAAAATCAAATTAATCCTATCGATTTATCTTCGAATCGTTCAATTTGAGAGACAATACGAAAATAAAATATAATACGAATAAAAGGAAGAAAATTTTCAAATGCAAGGATCAAATTAATTTTTTTATCCTCCCCTTTTTTGCCATATTCATCTTCGTTCAATTTGAAAAACAATATGAAAGGTAAAAGAAGAAAAGAAGAAAATAAAAGGAAAAGTTCCAAATACAAGATCAAATTAATTTCCATCGATCCTGTTTTGGGCCATGATCCAATATTTATCTTTGATTCAATTTGACAGACAATATAAAAATAAAACAATAAATATATAACATATAAAACATCTGAAAAAAGAAGAAAAAAAGAAGAAAATTTCCAAATGCAAAGATCAAAATAATTTTTTAAATTCTTTATGCCATAAGCCAATAATTCATCATCGTTTGATTCGAGAGACAATACGAAAATAAAGCTATAAACGTATAACACATCGACCAAAAAAAAAAAAAAGAAGAAGAAGAAGAAAAGAAGAAAGAAAAAATTTCAAATGCAAAGATCAAATTAATTTTTTTTAATACTTTATGTCATAAGCCAATAATTCATCTTCAATTTGAGAGACAATACGAAACTAAATAATGCAATAAATGTATAACACGATCGATTGAAAAGAAGAAAAGAGGAAGAAAAAATTTCAAATGAATCTTCGTTTACTGATAGAGAATATGAAAGCGAAACAAATAAATGCAATGAACAAATAACACATCGATCAAAAAAAAAAAAAAAAAAAANTTTCAAATGCAAAGATCAAATTAATTTTTTTTAATCCTTTATGTCAGAAGCCAATAATTCATCTTCGCTCACAATTTGAGAGACAATACGAAACCAAATAATGCAATAAACGTATAACACGATTGATTAAAAAGAAGAAAAGAAGAAAGAAAAAATTTCAAATGCAAAGATCAAATTAATTTTTTTTAATCCTTTATGTCAGAAGCCAATAATTCATCATCGTTCAATTCGAGAGACAATACAAAAATAAAGCTATAAACACATCGATCGAAAAGAAGAAGAAAAAATTTCAAATGCATTTTCGTTTACTGATAGAGAATTCGAAAGCGAAACAAATAAATGCAATTGAACAAATAACACATCGATCAAAAAAAAGAAGAAGAAGAAGAAGAAAAGAAGAAAGAAAAATTTCCAAATACAAAGATCAAATTAATCTTTTAACCCTGTATGCCATGATCCAATATTCATCTTGGAATCGTTCGATTCGAGAGACAATACGAAAGTAAAACAACATTTATAAGTTTGGCTGCCATCTCCCCTCATAAAAGATCTCCGGAAACTATTTGGATCTGACTGGGGAGGGGGAAGGGCCCGAGCTTATCTTAATCCATCCCTGGCTGCCAAGCTGCCTTGAGTGGCTTTCTATAGACCGAATATTTCATCTGGCTAGGATACTTTACGGGTTGGAATCTGTCGCCAGGGAAAATGTGTCTTCTCCGTCGTCTCTTTTACTCGCTCCTCCTTCCATTCCTGCTTCCATTCCATCTCTTTCTTCCCCCTCCCCTCTCTTCTCTCTCCCTCTCTCTCTCTCTCCAACGCGAGCACACACGTATTACCAGCCCATTCCACCGCATCGCCATCTTTCTCTTCGCGCTTTTCCTTATTCGTTTCATCCTTCCTCTACTAATACATATATATATATATAGTATCTCGATCGAGAAACTTATTACTAAATATAGGTAACGTTGGAGGGAGGATGGATTGGTAGGGTGAAAGGTGGAAGAATTTTCTCGCCAATGTGTATAAACTTGGTAATGAGAATATCGATGGAATATTTTTCTTCTTTTCCTCTGTTCTTTTTTTTTTTTTTTTTTTTTTTTTTTTTTTTATGTAATTAAATGCGTGCAAATGAGTCGAGATGATTTATTCTGGTATTTTGTTAATTATTGGAGGAGAGATTTTCTTGCGAATGTGATGGAATGTGTGAAATATAGAAATATTTTGTTTGTTCGTTTTGTTTGATTGAGTCGAGTTGATTCGATTATGATTTGTTTTGATATTTTGTTTAATTGGAGGAAAAGATGGCTTCGAAGAGAATTTTCTCGCTTGTTTTTTTTTTTTTTGACAATAATAATTTGAGCGCAATTTTTTGGACTTAATTTTAGAAATTTAATTAGCCTACTAAACGTAACTATATTTGGATTATATTTGATTAGGAAGAAGAAGAAAAAGAAGATATATTAATAGATTCGGTATTCTTCTTTTTTGTTTTCGTTTTGTCAAGTTTTTTAAACTTCTAAAAATGATTCGTTTAATGTGTGGTTGTAACGTTGCTGTTGTAGATTAACACCAAAGATTAAGCGATCGTTGTAGAAAATATTAAAAGGAAATAATACGAAGGAAAAAAGGAACGAGAATCAATTTTTGCTTATCATCGAATTATTATTAGAACTCTCTCGCATTCTCTAATATCCATTACCGTTCGTCGATAAAACAGTTGCAAAATCATTATCCTAAATTAACGAGTACACACATTTCGCATTTCAATTACCTTGTATTTCCCGATATTACGAACACTGCAAGAGAAAACAACTTCACGACCAATAGCAGCCGTTTGATTTCCAACTGGAGCGATGAACACAGGTCCCGAAATTGTGCTCGAATCTGAAAAAAATAACAAACAATTCCAAACAAAATTTCTTTATTAAAAAAAAAAAAAAAAAAAATAAAATAAAAAAATAAAAAAATAAAAATAAAAAAAAATAAAAAAAACCGAATCGAATACATAATTTTCTTCTCAAAACGACTATTAACCTTCTTATACGTACATTCGATGCAAAAATTTGTCGCATCGATTCTCCCGTGTATTTCCATTCTTCTTTGGAGGATGCAAAACTACCCTTATCTACATCACCAGCCTACGAGAGATATCCCGCTTCTGCAGCGAGGCGTACATTAGTGAAACGAGGAGGAGCTTGATACCTCAAAGAGCATGAAACGTACACCAGATTGGATTACGTATACAATCGATTGTAGTAGAATATCAAAAGACTGGGGAAGAGTATAACAACGACGAGGGTAGTGTTTGGGGTAACATCATCAAGGGATAGTATCTTGTCAACGTCATCCGAGGCACGTTCCTCCGAGTTTTCCAAGCTAACCAATCGAGAAGTTAGTGGAGACGGATTGATAGATGATCATTTGCCATGGTAAATGTCGATTGACTTGCAAATCACTTCGTGATCTCGTGTAATCGTAATGCCATGCACGTTTGATGTATGAAATATGAAGTATGAAATATGCATCACGTAATTGAAATCATTAAGTAACATTAAAAAAAAAAAAA